CATTCTGGGTTTCCCGTCCATTTTGCTCTGAAACTAAAACTGCTCGTAACAAAAAAGGAGGAAGGGCCTATTATAAAAACAGTAAACTTAGCCAGAGAGAGGTGCGTGCAGGTGCCTGTGTGTGGCATGGTGGCTGAGGCAGACTCCGACACAGCTACTGAGGTTCAAGCGCCAGACCCAGTGGCCTACAAATCACAATGAATAAATGAGTGAGTGTGTGAGTGTGTGTGTGTGTGTGGGGGGGGGGAGACAGTTCCCAAACACATAGTCCAGAGAAAAATAGTCTTTAAAAATTACACGCAGAGGCAAAGTACAGACTATACATACATTACATACAATAAAAGGCATATCGTTAACTCATTAGACAAACTAAAGCAGCAGTGGTGCTGGCCAGTGATCAACACTGCTCACCAGACACTGCCGACGTCTCCCACATGACGCTAACGCACAACTCTTCCCGGGTGCCAGGTGTTAAAATACAGCCTGTGTCCCAAAGAAACGCTGCCTCCCACGGCGCTCGTGTTCCTTTCACCAACACTGACTGCACCCCACCCAGGCCTGCGGGCTGAGCGTCCTTCCGCCGCGGGCTCCCAGGGGCGAGCATAGTTACCTGGTAAAGCAGTAATAAAGTCCCGCTGCAGCATGGGCTTCAGGTAAGAGTTAATATGTCCATGCTGGTAATGACACATTCGGGAAATGAGGTGCTCCACAAACTCCACTTGATCTGATTCAGACCACTGGTCAAAATACTTAATACACAAGTCTTTTTCCTTTTGATAGTTTCCTTCTGATGGCCTCTTCCTGGAGACGATCACAGACGACGTTCCATTACTTATCTGTTTAAGGGGGAAAAAATTAGTTTGACAATGAAAAGAAATCTAATTAAGATTTCATTAAAAACATTTTCCACCCTGTGTATTTAATCTTAAGATGTCAGTTTACCCTAAAGCCAAACTTGTTCCTTTATTAATTCATTCAGGAAGTAATTTAAAAATGTATTCAGGGCCCATGGCCTCAAATTAAGTCACTACAGTAACCGGCCAAGTTAGAGCCACACGTTTCTGAAGCTCAATGGTGTCTTCCCTCACATCCTCCAGTGCTTTCCCCAAACCGGGCCCTGATCGGACAACGAATGTCGGAGATGACCATCTTGGAGGAAATGCTCAACCTGGCTAAGTGTCGACTGACTGGCTATTAATAGTTGACTTCCTCAAAGTAGAAAGTTAATGCTACATCTATGCTCATGGTTACTATAAATCTATACCACTAATTCTCACACTCAAGCACAATTGAGAATAACGAGGTTTGTTAAAACTCAGACTGCTGGACCCCACCTCAGAGGTTCTAATTCTACTGGCCTGGAGTGGAGCTAGAATTTGTACTGCTAACAAGTTCCCAGGGGCTGCTGATGCGGCTGGTCCAGAGCCTGCACTTTAAGATCCACAATGCAAGAACCACTGGTCTATCTAACGGAAAAGATGAGCAATGTTGTGTTGACACTTGATAAATGCTTCATTTTACCCAAAAGTGTCAGTCCCCTCCACACTGTTCCCAGGGCTATTCAAACTCAGAGCAAAACAGTTGAGACTTTCCTTCCCTTTTTCGATCACTTTCTCAGAAAGTGACCCAAGGCCAACCATGTATGCCACCGACGTCCCTCGTGGTCTCCAGGTGGTTTATGGGTAAGTCAGACCCTATACTAACAATGCCCTTCTCGTCAGATCCAGGTGCATGCCCTTGCACAAAGTCAGCATACCTTTTTAACTAAAACTACATCCCTGCCTCTGGACAAAGCATCAGAAACCATCTGAATTCCCTAGACTCAAGCCAAACTACTACTAATGCTATGAGCTCAGTACATTCTGCTCTAGAACAACGCAACCTCCATGGATGCATCAAACATCTTCCAAAGCCACTTGCCCATCACTCCTCCAACAGCCTCCGCACACGTAATGCCAGAAGGAGTCACACAAGAGGACTTGAGGACTGAACAGGTGAATTACTACAAGTGTTCATTCATCTCATTCGAAACGCATCTCAGAAGTCTTATACAGAAAGATCCAAGAGCTTCCACTATCCCCCCTCACTTAAAGTGGACTGAACTCATCCAGAAAATGAAGAAAGCAGCTTTGGTCTTCCCTGGCCAAAACGAAAAGAAACGAAAAAGAAAAACAATAAAGAAAAAGAAAATCTTATAACTTTCATGTCTGAAGTGAGTTCTTAAGCCTACACCTAGGAGCACATGGTTGGAGGCGTGCATCTCCCACTGACTTTACCACCCATGGGCGGGAACGCTTTTTCCCTTGTAACTTGAATGAGGGCAAGCTCACTGGTCCCACATACCACCAGGGGGCAGCACTGAACAGGGCGTTTTGGGTTTTTTTGTTTGTTTGCTTGTAGTAAGACATTCGTATCTTCATAGACCCCAAAAATAAAGAATTAAAAACACTCAGAGATGAGGTGAAAATTCTTTGCTGTGACAAATACTGGCAGATACAAGGGGCATCACTGCTGCTTTAAGCATGAGGCTGTCCACCACAGTATCGCACAGAGAAACATTAAGAAATAGCTGCCCAATTATAGGCAGATGGTTAAAGCCAATTATAATGCATCTACTCAAAGTACTGTACTGTAGGGGCCAGCAGGTGGCGTGGTGGCTAAGGTGCTGAATTCTCACATGACCAACCACAGTTGGAGTCCCAGATCTGGCAGTTGGAAAATCACGCCGGGCGTGTATGTGTGCGTGCCCAAAATCCTAGGATAGGATTGCAGTGTGGGAGTGCAGTGTGGCCACCCCCCCATGGGTGATTTCTCACTTTCCACCTCACTGTGTCTGGTGAGTGCACATGCCCTATGTCAAAAACCTTTACAAAATAAAAAGTATTGTACTGTAGCCATTAAAGCCAGGTTTATAAAGTAAGATTTGAATAAAAATAAACATGCTCATGAAATAATATTGAGGAACAAAAGGCAAGATCCAGAATTTCAATATGGCGTTATGATCGCAGTAATTTGTGAGAGGGGGAGCACACCAAGACAGAAGAATATACATCAAAATATCGAAAGTATCTCGTTTTGAGAAAGAAAGCTATATTTGTTTTTTCCTTCCCCCTTTTACTTTGATACTTTTTCAAATAACCTGCCAAAATAATTGTTTCATAATAGGTTAAATGTAACTATGGTAACAATTTGCATTTGTGTATCACTTTATAACTTAGAAAGTACTTTCACACCCATTATTCCATCTGATAAACAAAAGTATTATTGTTTCATTTATAGCATTCTCCCTAGAATACTTGGATACCTTTAAGTAGCTGACTGGAAGATAAATGCAAGAAAAACTGAGAGCTAAAGTGTTAAGAACTACCAAGAACTGGAAAATCAATAGTAAATGAAGGGAGTCCTACTGCAGAATAAGAAATGTGAAGGAGGGCACAAAATTCAGCCTGCACACAAGGACACCAACGCCCCCAAAAAGCAGCATGTGCACTATTCCGTAGCACGGTTATACATTCTATTTCCAACCACCTGGCCAGCCCCGCAAGAGCTTTCTAGCATTGTTTTGTTTCCTTTCATCTCAAATCTGCCAGGTACACTTTATTCTTGCTAACTAATCTACCTCTTTAGTTCAAATCAAATGAAATGAAAGAACTTTATATTGATATATACGTGTGTGTGTGTGTGTGTGTGTGTGTGTGTGTGTAATTCTCTTCACATTTAGATTTGTCTTGCTTTTAATCCTGTCTTCATGAAGAGAAAAATCATTATACCATGATGGTTGGTGAAAACACCAAATGAGGGCACTTTACACACAGATCCTAAAAAAAATTTAGACATGAGCAACTGGGAGCCAAGGGAGGAGACGGAGGGGAAAAAAAAAAAAAAAAAAAAAAAAAAAGAACTTGGGAAAGGTGGAGGGGTCAGGAACGAAAGGGGAAAAGCAGTCAAGCAGTCAGCGTCAGCGCTGGTGTGGGCCTGGAGCCGTTCTGGGGTCAGGACGCCACCACTGTCCGTCTTGGCATCCACAGTGGCTGTGTACAGAACCTGTACCTACAGCCATTCTCAAATGTTTGTGAAAACTCCAAAATTCGTTACTATTTGTAATGATACTTCCCTAAGGAAAAGAAGATACATTAGGGTGGATTCTGAAACTTGCAAATCTGCACAAAAGAAAACAAAAACCCTTGACTCTTGATTTTACTGAGGACATGAACTGTGGGAACATCTTATCTACAGTAAATCAACAGCTATCTTATCTGTGCGCATCATTCCTACCTGCCAAAGAGTACTTTTCTTTGGGGACTCATCTTCATTTTGATCTTCCATAACTGAAGTGTTCTAAAGGGGGAAAAACAAGTTATTTGAATTATGCCAAGTTTTGCAAATCCTACATAACTACAAGATAGAATTTTGAAAACTCAAACTACAGTACACCCACATAAACCCCAGAACTACATGGCTGTGGCTGACACAAACCACGCTGGGTCAGGAAGATGTGCTTACCTCTCCTAAATCAACACAGCCTACAGCAAGCTTGAAGTCTTTATTTATGAAGGTCGGGTGTGCTCAGAAAACAGGGAGCTTGCGGGAGTAGGGCAGAAGCTCTACCTCAACCAGCACTGTTATTCTTTCACATGTGTCAAGAAACCCCAGAAGCCCATAAAGTTTCCAATAACTGCAAAAAAACATTTACTAGAATGTCTGCTCTTCAGTAACCCAACCCTGTAATCAGCAATTACAAGTAACAAAGCTTGCAAAGCCCTGAGTTCCTCTTTGCTCCTTCCAGGCCTCCTTTTCTCTGGAATGGCTTTGCGAGCAAGCATGGTGGGTACCCCCAACCTTTTCCCTGAAGAAGAGGGTGCTGTTAGCCAGTAACAATCTGGCTTGCCTTGGGAATGCATTAGCTTTTGATTTCTGTATTTACTGCACAAAGAGGCACTGTGTAATTATTCTTTCTGGTGACCTAGTCGCTCAATAGATGCCCATTAACTAGAGATTATACATGATTGGATTTTCCTTTTTGAAGCTCCTTACCTAATGGCTAAATGGAAACTTAATGAGAAGGGGAAGTGGGAGAGTTGTGCTCTGAGAGGAATAGCAACTCATTTCTGGATAGCAGTCTCAAACCTACAATTCTAAGACTAGAATACAAAATTTAAACTACAACAATTAGCCCAAAGCATTATTCAGAAAGGCACAATAGAACTACTTAAACTACCAGTGTTTCCAAGATCCTGTTACTGCCTTTAGGGGATAAGCCTCTTCTCTTATTTTCTCTATTTTTCCTTTCTGTTCTTAAAGTGCTAAAATGCTTGAACCCACACAGTATTTCCAACCAATCCATTTGAAAATACCCAATGATGCTAATGACCAAAGAGTCAATGCACACTAGTCACCTACCACTCACAGGCTGGCTCCCATTGGAGATGCGCTATGACAAGGTAAGGAAGCCGAAAGTTTTGAGTCAAAAGACAAAAGCCAGAATCCTGATCTGGTCACTAACTCAGTGTCTCTGTAAGATCTTTAGAAAGCTGCTTAGTCCCCGCCCCACCAACAAATGCAAACAACGAACCACCCCTGCAGCACAGTGCCTGGAGGGAACAGGTATTCAAACAAATTACCTCATTCCAAAGTGTCATCTTCTCACACTCTCCTAATCTCAGAGATAAGAAATTAATAAGCCACTAATAGAATGGCTCCAAATGGCTGCCTATGGGAAAATCCTGGATATGCTGCAATGGGCAGGGCAAAGGCAGGGCTCTGCACACAATAGCCAGTCATGAGTTAGAGTGGACAGGGTGTCCAAGTGGCCAACATCTAACACCATCGAGTGAGTATTCAAAATTGGCGAACTAAGACATTCTTCACTGTGCTATAGAATTCTAAATAGAAACAATCTTCTAAATTAACAAAAATAAACTTAGCATAGTCAATGAAAGAAGAACTTGTAATTTCCATGAGGACTGTGGGAGATGAGTTTGTAACCTGAAAAGGCTGGTCCAGTTAGGGATAGGTAAAGTGTACGTAACAGTAGCTCACTAGGAACAGAGAGAAAAAGAACACTTCACTCACACAGAAGTTCTTCTACGACATAGTATTGTAGTGTGCACAAAGAAATAAGTCCTTGGGGCCAGCAGATGGCGTAGCGGTTATGACGCTGCACTCTCACACGGTGGAGGGCAGTTTGGGTCCCAGACCCTGTGGCTTGAAACTCACACCGGGGTCAATGTGCGTGTGGGTCCAGCATCCCAGAAGGAAAATGGAAAAGAACGGATTACTGGTGTGGCCATCCCCCCAGGGGTGACTTCTCACTCTTCTCACTGTTTTTGTCTCTCTTTGGCAAAAACCTCTTCAAAAAAAAAAAAAAGAGTTCTCTAAAAAGCAAAACTAAAACAAAATTTTAAAGAGATGTTTAAAAGTGAAGATGGATAAGTCCGTGATTGGTGATTTATAGGCTTTACAAAGTTCTTGATTTTGGCCTATTCCAAATACAGACTCAGATACTTGTAACATTTTAGACTGTTCCTCTATTATCTAATTTTATACAATGAGTAATGGTTATAATAAATATGTAAACTACAACCTGCAGAGACAACTGTCTATTAAATAATGGGTGAATTTGTGTTTAAACCTGTGTGAAAAATAGTTGAATCTGCATTTAGTCCCAACATTCAATGTTATTATCAATATGTATAGTCTTATCCTTTTTTTCTAGTTGTTTTGTTTTACTTACTTCTGTTAGTCTACCTTTAGCTTTCCTGGTGTATTAGTCCCTTAAGTATTTCCTGAAGAGCTATTCTGTTTTGGTCAATTCTCAGCATTTGTTCATCTAGGAATGATTTTTCTCTTTTCCATGTGAAGGATAATCTTGCTGGGTATAGTACTCTTGGCTAAAATTGCTTTTCTTTCAGAGTTTTAAATATGTCTTCCCATTGTTTCAGTTGAGAGATCCAATGTTAGTCTAATGGGGTAATCTTTATAAAGTAACTTACCATTTCTCTCCTGCCCTTTTTATTGTCTTTGATTTTTACTAATTTGGCTATAATATGCCTTGGAGAGGATTGCTTCACGTTACATCTATTGGGTGTCTCTTGTATTTGGATATACTGGATTAGGATGTCTGCATGTCTCTCTAAATTCCAAAGTTTTCAGCCAGTAAATTATGGAAGAGATGTTCTATACCATTACCTGTCTCTTCACCTTCTGGAATACCCATCATGCAGATATTTGGCTAAGTGATGGTGTCTAGGATTTCCCGTATACTGTCCCCATTTATAACGGTTATCCATCTATTCTTTCCAGTCACTTGAACTAACTGGAGGTCTTGTCTTCAAAGTCAGAGATTCTTTCCTCTGTGGTCTAATCTGCTTTTGCTACTTTGAAAGAAGGTTTTGATTTCCTGAATGGTATTTTTTATCTCCAGAAATTGTTTGATTCTTTTTTGGTGCATCTATCTCTTTATGGAGTTCCTCTCTCAAGTCCTGGAGGGATTTTCTCATCTCCTGGAACAGGCTGTCCATTTTACCTTGCAAATTGTTGAGTTTTGTTACCATGAATATTCTGAATTCTTTCTCTGACATTTCTGCAGCCTCTTATGTCTTAGTCATTGTTGGTGAGGAGTTATGATCTTTGAGGCAGAGGTGTTTCCTGATTTTCTCCTATTTCTTGGGGCTCTGCTTTGATTTTTAGTCATCTACTGGTATACCCACTTCTTCCTACCTCTTTGGAGTATGTTTCTATACCTACATGCCTCTACCTGGGTGCTTTTCAAGCTGTCAGGTCCAGGACTTGACCCACGCAGTCTATCACTTTGATATTTAATCCTTAACATCAATAGACAAAGGGTCACAGATTCAAGGTTGCAGGGGTGGGGGTACAGCCAGAGATGTGGTGGTTAAGGTGGCTGATTCCCACATGGCTACATGGTTTCAGGGGGCTTAACAACCATGCCAAGCACATGTGCATGTGTGCACATGACCAAAATCCAAAGAGGAAAATGGAGAAGAAGGGATTGCAGCGTGGCCACCCCCGTGTGGGTGCTTTCTCACTACCCCTTCTCTTTCTCTTTCTGGTAAGCACTCACGTCCTACAGCAAATTAAAAACTCCCAAGAGGAAACAAAGGTAGTTTCCTATATCCAAACTCTCAAGTGAAACCATGAAGTAAGCTGAAACCCTCTCTTAAGTCTCCAACACTTCAAGTAAAGTTCTCTGAAATAGCGAACTGGCTCCCTCCCCCGCCCCAGGGAGTGATTTCTCACTTTCCCTCTCACTCTGTGTGTGTGTGTGTGTGTGTGTGTGTGTGTGTGTGTCTGTCTGTCTGTCTGTCTGTCTGTGTCTCTCTCTCTCTCACCAGCACACGCTCCCTAAGGCAAAAACCTTTAAAAAAAGAAGAAAAGAAATACCAGCTTGGCCTATTCACTTCCCACCCTTCTCATCATCTCTGCTCTTACTCTACCAAGGTGCATCACATGTAACTAGACAAAGACCACCCAGTTCTGATACTACAGTCATGCAGACACACCCTAGCCGGAGGCTGTCCTCCCCCAGGGCAGGTCGACCATCCTGCTACTGACTCTTCAGGAGAACAGTTCTGGTTGCAGGGCGCTGCAGGTTAGCAGTAGCCCGGAACCCCATCTAGCCAGCAGGAAGCCCCCGCCCAACTCTCCTACCCTCACTGTAACAACTACAAATATTTCCGAATTGCCAAATGCCCCAGGGAAGCAGGGCAAAAATCATCCCCTCCATCTGAAACCAGTTATCTGTGGGTGTCAGCTCCTACCCCTGCCTCCATGTGGAGATACAATAAAGCCAGGCATTTTTCCTTGGCCCCTATGACAGATCTTATGGAATGTTCTTCACACAATCACTGATATATCATGACAAATAATTCATAGATATGTATCTAAATTCTGGGTTAAGTCTTGTTTGCCATTAAATTCCTATTTGGGAAACCCTGACATGAGAGGTTCTTTGCTAAGATGTCCCATGGGCTTGGGCTTTGTGTAGGAGTGCACAAAATCCCCAAAGGAAAAGAAAACGGAAGAGAAGGGACCACAGCAAGGTCACTCTCCAGGGGGTGCTTTCTCACTTCTCCTCTCTCTTCCTGGCGAGTACAAGCACCCTACAGTGAACTTTTAAAAAGAAAAGAGTCACTGCTACTGTGAAACGACTAGCACTCATCTACGCGGGGAGCGGCACTGGTGCAATCACGCCTGCTCAGCCTCGGGCCCCAGCCCCGTTCATGCCATTTCACAACCTCTCAATAGCACTAGAGCCTAATGAGTATCCCTGGGCATCTTATGCAAGTAAAATTTATAAATCATGATTGTCAATTACA